CCTTCCTTCCTTCCTTCCTTCCTTCCTTCCTTATTTGATACAGGGTCTGGCTATGTAGTGCAGGCTGGTCTTGAACTCAATTTATAGCACAAACTGGCCTCGAACTCATGGTCATCCTCCTGCCTCAGCCTCCTGAGTGCTGGGATTACAGGCATGCACCACCTGCCTGGTTATTTTTCTTGTTTTTAAAATTTGGAACACATTTTGTAAAAAATAGTTTCCACTAGAATTCAAAACACAGCCAGCCTTCCACCTATCAACACCACTTATAGTAATGTGTTCCTTTCTAAGATTCTCACACACAAGGATGTTCAAAGCTATTTGTTGCCAGGCTGGTGAGGTGCTGCCTGCCTGTAATCCCAGCGATTTGGGAGGCTGAGGCAGGAGGATCACAAGTGAGAAACCAGCCTGGGCAATATACTGGTTTTAGTGAGACCTTGCCTCAAAATAAAAAGGGCTGGGGATGTAGCTTAGTGGTAGAGTGTCCCTGGATTGAATCTTCAATACCAGAAAAAAAAATGTATGACATACAGGTAGCAAAGTGCACTAATCTTTACTATAAAAAATGAACAGACACCAGGTGTGGTGGCGCATACCTCTAATCCTAGCACTTAGGAGGCTGAGGCAAGAGGGTTCCCATGAGTTTAAGTCCAGCCTCTACTACACAGTGAGATTCTGTCTCAAAGAACCAAAAAAAGAAAGAGAGAGAAAGAGAGAGGGAGGGAGGGAGGGAGGGAGGAAGGAAGGAAGGAAGGAAGGAAGGAAGGAAGGAAGGAAGGAAGGAAGGACCTACTTTTTGGGCCCCCTTCTGTCTCTTAGAGAGAAGCTTTTCTTCCTTTCAATGAATTCTTCCTACATTTATTTATTTATTTGTCTTTTTGAGACAGGGTCTCGCTATGCAGTTCAGGCTGGACTTGAGCTCCCTTTGTAGCCCAGGCTGGCCTTGAACTCACAAAGATCCTCCTGCCTCAGCCTCCCGAGTGCTGGGATTACAGGCATGTGCCACCACGCCCGGCTCTTCCTACTTTTAAAAAAGAAAGAAGCACAAATAAATCTTTAGCTTCTGCCCTTTCATTTCATGAAGAAATGAAATACTGACCTACACCAGATGTGTGCTCCCTTGCCATCGTCACCAGGTTCTTTCCCTCCTGACACCGTCCTGACTCTAACAAGGTGGGAATCACTCACCAGGGAACCCGGGGAAGTGGCACCTACAGTCCACACCCTTCCATGGCGGCGGCAGCTTCTGGGCTTAGCATTTGTGAGCCTTGTCCCCACTGAGGTGACAGAAGGTCACCGGAGTTCACTGGTAGAATTTTCTAGCATGTGATTCAGCGTGCTTTATTACCCAGTCAACCGTGGATGGGCATTTAGGTTGTATCCATGTTGACGCTGTCACAAATAATTTACTAGGCACGCTTGCAGGGCTGTTGGAGGACGCGTGCTCTCATGTACAACGAAAGGGAAAGGAAAGGACCACGCGGTGGCCTATTCTAGTGGTGTGTGTGTAAATTCCCCACTTGGCTCAAACTTGCAATCTTCTTGCCTCAGCCTCCCAGAGTGCTGGAATTACAGGCATGGGCTGCCTCACCCAAGTAAAATTAAAAACTTTGCCCAGGCATGCTGGCATACATCTATTATCCCAGCTCCCAGGATGCTAAAGCAGGAGGATTTCCTCAAGTTCAAAACCAGCCTGGGCTACATAGCAAGACCCTGTCTCAAAAAACAAAACAAAACTTTTATATATCAAAGGATACTACCAACAGAGAGACCGGCAACCTCCCAAATGGTAGAAAATATGTGTAAATCATGTATCCAATAAGGAATGGATTCCTAGAATGGATAAGGGACTCTCTAATAACTCTCAAACACTCAATGAGTCACAGAAGAAATCACAGGATACTTAGAAAACCACAGAAATAAAATAAAATTGAGTAAGATGAACATACCACACAGCAAAACTTACAGGACTCAGAAAAAGCCATGCTAGGGCAGAAATGTGTAGCTCTAAGGGCCACACTAGAGAAGAAGAAAGGTCTAAAATGAACAGCTTTACAACTAATGGAGATAGAAAGACAAACTAAACCCAAAGCTCATATAGGCTCATAGAAATAAAACAGAAATTAGCAAAATAACAGAGACAGTCAACCAAACAAAAAAAGAATTGGCTCTTTGACAGAAAGGATTCGAATTACTAAAATTAGAAATCAAAGTGAAAAAGCCAGGTCTGGTGGTGTACACCTGTAACCCCAGCACCTGGGAGGCTGAGGCAGGAGGATCACTGTGAGTTTGAGGCCAGTCTGAACTATATAGGGAGACTTGAAAGAAAGAAAGAAAGAAAGAATAAGACTATTACTACTGATTCTACAGAAGCAAAAATAATTACTACAGAATACTGTGGACAATTATACTCCAATAAATTTAACCAGAGGAAACGGACAAATTCCTAGAAACACAAGCCCTACTGAGACTCAATCATGAAGAGAGAGAAAACCTAAAGGAACCTATAAGAGGAGTTTGGATCTGCCATCAAAAACCTCCCAGCTGATGTAGTGGGGTGTGGCAGCACACGCCTATAATTCCAGCACTCAGGAGGCTGAGGCAGGAGGATCTTGCAAGTTCGAGACCAGCCTGGGCTATAAAGTGAGCTCAAGGCCAGCCTGAACTGCATACTGAGACCAAAAAAAAAAAAAAAAAAAAAAAAAAAAAACAAAAAAAACCCACCTCCCAGCTGGTGTGGTGGTGCATGCCTGTAATCCTTTCTAAAAAATTAAGCAGGAGAAAACACTTCTTGCCTCATTCTATTTCTGCTCTGATACTGGAGCCAGAGACATTGTAAGAAAACCACAAGAGTGATGCAAACATCTTCTAAAAAACCAGTAGCAAATCAACTTGAGCAGCATATGGAAAGGGTCATCCACAGCCGCCAAGTGGGGTTGATTCCCGGAATGCAAAGATGGTTCAAATTTCAAAGTTCAAAAATTATGCATTCCCAGAAAGAAGGGGGGAAAATCACATGATCATCTCAAGCGATCTGGAAAAAGTCTTTCAAAGTGTAACAGCTTTTCCTGATTCAAAAAAAAAAACTCAGCAAACTAGGAAAAGAAGGAAACTATTTCAGCACAATTGAGCCCACGTGTGAGAAGCCACCACTGACGACATACTGGTGATGGTGACGGACTGCAGGCAGTGGAAGTCCTAGCCAGAACTCACGCTCAGAAGGGACTGAAACCAGAAAAGAGGCACTGTTACCTCTGTTCATAGCTGCTATGAGCTTCTGTCTGGAAAACCCTAAAGGGCTCTGTCTTGGTTACTTTTCTCTCGTTGCTGAGACAAAATACCCAACGCTCCAAATGAAGGAAGGAAAGGTTTATTTAGCTTACAGTTCGTGGAGGTTTCAGTCCATACTTGGCTGGCTCCAAGGCAGAAGATAGCAAAGCTACAAGAGCAAAGGGGGGAATGGCAGCTGAACAGCAAAGCAGCCAGAGCAAAAGGGAGGAATGGCGGCAAGCAGCCTCTTTCCCTCCCTTACACTGTAAACAGGCTACCCCCACCTAGGGAGCATGTAGCTCTCACATAATCTCCATGCCCTCCTCTTCCACAGGCTCAGGATGTATACAAAGTAAGCACCTTGGCTTCCTGCTGAGTCACTTAGCCAAACCTCTAGACTCCCCAAGTTGACACAATGTATCAACCATAACAGGCTCACATGCAAATTTTTATTTTATTTTATTTTATTTTTTTGTGGTTTTTCTCCGGTACCGGGAACCGAACTCACGACCTTGCGCTTGCCAGGCAGGCGCTTTTGCCGCTGAGCTAAATCCCCAGCCCTCATGCAAATTTTTAGATCTAACAAAAGAATTCACAAAATACAAAATCTATGCAGGGAAATCAGTAGCAGAGCTCTTGGGCCTGGGACCCACACTCAGTACCACAAAAGACAGAGTCTGTTGTGTCACTCTGCACCAGCCATGGGAATTAAGAAAACTTCCTTTATAATAGTTTTTGAAAAAAGGTTTTCTTACTTTTTCAAGGAGGTAAAAGACTTGCATGCCTAGAAAACTAGAACACATCCCTAAAAGATAAAGGCCAAGACCGAAATGAATGGCGAGATACTCTGTGTTCTTGAGTCAGGAGACCTCATAATGTTAAGATGCCAATTGTACCCTACTGAGCTACAGATTCAGTGCAGTCGCTAGGAAAACTCAAAGGGTCCAGAATAGCCAGACTAAACTTGAAATAGAAGAATAAGGTTGGAGAGCTTGCTGATTTCAAAATTTACTATGAAGCAGCCAGACATGGTGGTGCAAGCCTGTAATCCTAGCGATCTGGGAGGCTGAGGCAGGAGAACTGCAGGTTCAAGACTTGCCTGAAGATTGAGTGACTCAGAGACCCTGTCTCAAAATTAAAAAGGAAGCCGGGCATGGTGACGCACATCTGTAATCCCAGCACTCAGGAAGCTGAGGCAGGAGAATCATTGTGAGTTTGAGACCAGCCTGGGGTACAAAGTGAGCTCAAGGTCAGCCTGAACTGCATAGTGAGACCCTGTCTCAAAAAGACCAGAACAAAACAAAACAAAAAACCAAATTAAAAAGGGGTGGAGATATAGTTTAGAACAAAGGCATTGGGTTCAATTCCCAGTAACTCAGACAGACAGACAGACAGACACACACAAACAAAATAGAAAGAAAAGAATACTAGGAGGCTACAATAATCAGCACAGAATGGTGCTAGCATGAAGCAGACAGATCAGAGGAATAGAACAGAGTCCAGAACTAACACCTGCACATTATTTTTGACAAGGGCATGAGGATCATTCAGGGATGGGACAGTCTTTTGTTCTTTCTTTTTTTTGTCTTTTTGAGACAGGATCTCGCTATGCAGTTCAGGCTGGCCTTGAACTCACTTTGCAGCCCAGGCTGGTCTCAAACTCCCAACGATCCTCCTGCCTCAGCCTCCGGAGTGCTAGGATTACAGGTGTGCACCACCACACCTGGCTCCGGATAGTCTTTTCAATCAGTGGTGCTGAGGAAGCTGGACATTCACATGAAAAAGAACCACCTGTACCCTTGATCAGGAATATCTCAAAGCTGGGTGTGGTGGTACACACTTGTAATCCCAGTACTTGGGAGGCTGAGGCAGAAGGATCATAAAGTTCAAGGCCAACCTGGACAACTTAGTCAGACGTTGAAATTCTCTCTCTCTCCCTCCTTCTCTTCCTCCCTCCCCTTCCTCTCTCTAGAGAATCCACATTCTCCACAGGGCACTGCTGGTTCTCCCATGTACCTACTTCTTTACAGTTAACACCACAAAATGTGAAAGGTGAGAACCAGGCTCAACCCGAACAGTTGTGCAGGTTGAGCACTGCAAAAGGGCGCGTCATTCAAAGACAGAGGCTTGCGGCTGTTTTCAAGTTTTCCAGCCAAACGCAAGGTGGAACCTAACGCTCGGGACGCCGGTCTATCTGCGGCCTGTCCAACAGAGGGCAGGAGAGCGCCGCGAGAGGCCCGGGACTCACCTGGCCCACGTCCTCGCAGTCCAGCAGCTTCTGCCAGCTCACGGGGCCGCCGCCGTACGTCATGCCCACATTGTTCACTGCGCAGGAGGTCGCACGGTGTCCCTCACAGGCGGGGGACACGGGGTGGGGGGCAGGGAGGGGACCCGGCGCGCTCCGGGCCAGCGAAAGAGACGGGTGACTCACCCAGAACTCCGATCTCCAGGCCCCGCAGTCCTGCCTCGATGGCACCGTAGATCTCCAAGCCCCCGGTGAAATCGGCCTGGATGACGCGCGTGGACCTGCCGTGAAGCCGCTCTGGAGGACAGGAGTGGGGTCAGGCCCTATCCCTGTCCCCGTCCCCGTCTCCGTCCCCGTCCGGCTCCAGCGCACCCAGCAGCAGCCTCGGGCCGCCAGCCTCGCCCCAGACCCCGGCCCACAGGAGGGCAGAGCCTCCCCGCGGGCGGGCACTCACCGATCTCCCTGGCCTCCTGCTCCAACTTGCCGAGGCTTCGACTAATGAGGACGACGTTCAGCCCCCTCCTGGCCAGCTGCGGAAATTCATTCACTTACTCAGCGGCACTCCCACACCCTGGCCACCAGGTACTGGGAATTGAACCCAGGGCCTCTGCACTGCCCTACACTGTCAGCCCTTTTTATTTTTTCAAACAGAGGCCCCCTCAGTCATCCAGGCCTAGTTTCAACTTGTGGTCCTCCTGCCTCAGCCTCCCAGAGTGCAGGGATTCCAGGCATGCGTAACTGCTCTGGCCTACTTTTCACATTTAGTCATTCGCGGAGCCAACAAAGATCAACCACATCCTGACCTTGACACTTAGTGTTCAAGCCCTGTGGTCACAGAGGTGGACACAGGGGAGCAGCAGCCGGGGGAGGAGGAGGACCCTCCAGGGAGCGCAGTTCCAAGGGCAGTGGGCAGACTGAGGAGACAGCTGGGGCACCCAGGGTCATAGGGAGACCCTGCTTCTGACCACTGCGGCACGTGCCGAGGTCCCTGTTCTCTCTCGTGCCCACGTGTCTAGCATGCATCTGCTCCCTGCTGTGGGACTGAAGAGGCAAGGTGATTGTGACACCCAAGCTCAGCCCCTGCTGTGCACCCTCCACCCTGCCGCTGAGGTCTCTCTGCAAAGCGCAAACTCCACCCTACCCCTCTCCTGCCCAGAACCTGCCCTGGCTCCCCAGGGACCCAGAGACAAACCGGCTGACTTCAGGTGCACCTCCTGCCGGGCACTTCTGTGAGAGGCCGGGCACAGCAATTGCTCATCTGGCTCCAACCAGCACCCCCTGGTTTTCCTGCTCCTGAGCCTTTGCATGTGCCTGTCCTTCTGTCCTGGAGTCCCTTCCACTTGATGCTGGGTTAAGGGGAGTGGGTGTCGAGCAGCAGTTCGGTGCCTGTCTCTCCCTCTCAGCCTGGACGCTAAGGGCGATATGTCATGGGACTGACTGTCCCTCAGCTGTAAAAGGAGACTGTGCCCAGATGTCTCAAGAGCCCCACAGATCTGAGAGGCTGATGGTACAATGGGTATTCATTCTCTCTTTCATTCACTCATCAAACACTTGGCCCAGCATCCACTTTGACTGGCACTGACCAGGACAGCCCCAGCCTTGCCATGTCGGCCCCACAATGCAGTGGCAGTGGGTGGGAGAGACTAGTCCCCAGGCGGTGACGGCACAGAGTGGTTGTAGCTACCGACCTACTTACAAAATCTCCCTATGTCCGGCTGTCACCCTTCCACTTGTAACTCAACTGCCCTTCCGTTCTTGCCAGCTCCAGGACAATACTCTAGTGTGTCTCCTGTCCTCCCTGTGCACCATGGTCCTCTATCTAGGTTATTCCCATCAGCACAGGAACCTAACCTCATGTTCCTTGTCACTCAACATCCCAGCAAAGGATCCTCTGTTCTAACGCTCCTCCTCCAATAGGTCCCTGCCACTGGGACTTGTTTCACTATAATCAGCCATCCAGACATTCAGAGGCTGCTGCAGCCATGGTCCAAGGGGGCCTGGCTACTGCTCAAAGCAGACTTTGGCATCATCCATGTTATGCTGGTTTTAGGTGTGTGCAGAATGAGTTGTGGGGTCAAGGAAACATCTACTCAGACTTCAAAGGTATGCCTGGGAGGCCAGGCAGTGAGCTCTTAAAAGGCAATGTGTGAAGCTGCAGGAATGAAGCCAAGATCCAGGGAGCTGGGACAGCTCCCAGGTATGTGGGAGGGAATGTGAGACATCTTCCAAGAATAGCTGTAGACCTTGAGCAGGAACCAGCCTGAGAGAGGCTGTGTGGGCTGCAACCCACAAAGCCATAGGCTGGGGCTGCCCACAACCCCTCGAACTCACGTCTCAAAACCATGCGCCCCAGACACTGGCTATCGAGCTATAGGACTTAAGGTTTGTCCTGCTGGGTTTTGGTCTTGCTTTGGTCTGATTTTTTTAAAATCCTCTTCTGCTGCCCGTTGGAATTGGACTATTTACCTTGTACCATTGTACTTTGAGATTATGTAACCTATCTTTGATCTTTACAGTGATTCATTTGAGTCTCAAAGGAGGCTTTGTTTTTGTTTTGTTGTTCTTATTTGAGATGAGAGCTGCCTAATTGTTCAGGCTGGCCTTGAACTCCGTACTTAGCCCAGCCTGGCCTCAAATTCATAGTAGTCCTCTTGACTCAGCCTCCCAGTGCTGGGTTTTAGGCGTGTGCCACCCTGTCCAGCTTTCAGAGGAGACTTTGGACTTGGACTTCTGAGAAGTGCTGGGACTGCTAAGACTCTGGGGGAAGTGATTGTTGTGTTTTGGCTGTACATGGCACAGCTGCATATATTAGGTGAAATTACTAATTTATTATTGGGTTTATTTGGACATAAGTATGGTTTAACGAGATGGATTTGAGTGGCAAGTTGACAAGAGGTAAAATGTGGTCGTGAAGCTTAATTATGTCAGCTTGACTGGGCTGGGAGCCACGTAACGGATTGGTGTGGCACACTTCTGGGTGTGTCTGCATGGCCACAGAGGTGTGACTCGCGTGCTGCATATGTCCCTGGCCCCTTCCTCTCTGGTGGGTGCTTTCCCTGGCTCTGCTTCCCAGCCGACATGAACTAAGCAGCGCTCCTCTCTCGTGAGCGTCCACTACACTGTTCCTGCCTTGGGGCCAGGCATCCATGGACCGAGCCATGTGAAACGACAAGATTACTGGGCACAGCGGCACACATCTGTAATCCCAGAACTCAAGAGGCTGAAGCAGGAGGATCGCCACAAGTTTGAGTGCAGCCGAGTTACACTGTGAATTCAAGGCCAGCCTGAACTACCTTAGGGAAACCCTGTCTCAAAATACAAACAAACAATGAAACCACAAGTCCAAATAAGCCTCTCCCCGTTTACGTTACAGGTGTGAGGTATTTTGTCCAGCAGTGGCGAAGCTGACTCATGCAGTCACTGTAGATGAGCTTGAAGGACATTAACTTAAGTGAACTCAGTCAGGCACAGAAAATCAAGTGCTGCAGGATCTCAGTACAGTGTGGAGTTGAACTTACGGCAGTGGTTAATGGAGCTTGAGGGTTGAGGAGAGGAGGGGAAATGTTGATCAGGGGATGTCAAGTTTCAGTTAGGAGGAATAAATTCTACACATCTATTGTCCAACATGGTGACTACAGTTAATAACAATGTACTGTGCTCTTGGGAAGAGCAATGTTAACTGTGGTTATCACAGAGACAGGGAGGGAGGGAGGGAGATCATCGATGTAATTTACTAAGAAAAAACAGCACAATCATCTCGTGAGATGCAGGAAAATGATTTCATAAAACTCTGCCTCCATTCCTAATGAAAACTCTCAGTAAGCTAGGTACAGAAGGGACCCTTCCTAACATAAAGGGCCGACCACATGAATGAGTAACAAAACAAACTAATCTCCTGCCGCCGTCATAATTAACAGCTGGGCAGGATGGCCACTCTTACAGCTTCTTCAACATATTGGATTCCCTGTCAGTTCAAAAGGGCAAGAAAAAGAGACGTCATACATAGCAGAAAAAAAAAAAAAAAAAAAAAAGGGCGGGGAGAGATGTAACTACCAGAGGTGCCACAGTGGTGGAGTCATAAAAGCCCTTTGGAGCACCCAATGTCTCACTATCTCTTATAACTTTTAGATTT